GCATCGGCCCCGCCCTTCCCCCCCACCACCTGGCTTCTCCCAAAGGGCTGCCCCGAAGTTGCTTGCAGCAGCGGAAGAGGTGCCCAGTGGAGGAGAAGGCAGGAGCTGATCTGTCATTTCTCCTCCACCGGGCACCTCTTCCGCTGCTGCAAGCAACTTCGGGGCAGTCCTTTGGGGGAAGCCAGGTGGTGGGGGAGAAGGCAGGAGCCGATGCCGTCTTCCCCCCCTCCCCCGAGGCTTCTCCCAAAGGGCTGCGCCCGATAGTGGGGGAGAAAACCGGATAATCCGTTCCTATTGGAACGGATTATCCGGTTTTCAATGCATCTCTATGGGAAAACACATTTCACTTAACAATGTTTTCCCATAGCGATGTTTTTTTTGGAACCAATTAACCTCGCTATGCGAGGCACCACTGTATTTTCGATGTATTCTTGAAGGCTTTTATGGCCAGGATCCGATGGCTGTTGTAGGTTTTTCAGGCTGTTTGGCCGTGTACCGAAAGTTTTTCTTCCTAACGTTTCGCCATCTCGGTGGATGGCATCTTCAGAGGACAGGACTTAGAACTCTGTCTGTGACAGACAGAGTTCTAAGTCCTGTCCTCTGAAGATGCCAGCAACAGAGACTGGTGAAACGTTAGGAAGAAAAACATTCAGAACACGGCCAAACAGCCCGAAAAACCTACAACAACCACCAGAGTTATTTTCCTTTTGCTCATATTTGTGTGGATTCAGTCCTTTAGCTTAAGCAGTTCAACTCCTTTCTAGGTTCTAGGTCTAGGATATGTTTTTTTGTTATATCTGAAACTGTGGCTTTCCCTTTGTGTCATATTATATTTTTGCTTTCTTTTGTATCTTCACATGCTTCATTTGTATCTTCACATGCACTGGAGTCCAGTACAGAGATTCCCTTTGTCAAAGTAGAGGGTTACATCTTATTTCTTCACAGAAGTTTTAAATAATAACATTATAATATCTATAATTGCAAATGAGACAGCATCTATATCTGTAAACATAATATTTTAGACTATTTTAGCTGTATGGACTGTGTATTTATTTGGCATTGTTTAGGCAGTACTTTTCATCTTTCAAATTATTTTAGGTAATTCTAAATTGCTCTGCATTACCCTGTCTCTTACATTTGCTGAGTAGTCCCAAGGAATCTATTCGGAAAGAAGCATGCTGGACAGTTTCTAATATTACTGCAGGAAACAGAGCTCAGATTCAGGTAATAGATTTGGATGTTTCTGTCATATATAATTCATTTTTTCATCACCTGGAGTTCATTTAACTGTTTCTTTGGCTGCTCGTCCAAGGTTACATTTTCAACAGGTTCACAGATTAATTGGTACTAAGTATATGCCTTTGAGTGGAGGTGGTGGCATTCCAGTTGAACTATTTAAAATCTTAAAAGATGACGCTGTTAAGGTGCTACATTCAATATGTCAGCAAGTTTGGAAAACTCAACAGTGGCCAGAGGACTGGAAAAGATCAGTCTACATCCCAATCCCAAAGAAGGGCAGTGCCAAAGAATGCTCCAACTACCGTACAATTGCACTCATTTCACATGCTAGCAAGGTTATGCTCAAAATCCTCCAAGGTAGGCTTCAGCAGTATGTGGACCATGAACTCCCAGAAGTACAAGCTGGATTCCGAAGGGGCAGAGGAACTGGAGACCAAATTGCAAACATGCACTGGATTATAGAGAAAGTCAGAGAGTTCCAGAAAGATGTCTACTTCTGCTTCATTGACTATGCAAAAGCCCTTGACTGTGTGGACCACAGCAAACTATGGCAAGTTCTTAAAGAAATGGGAGTGCCTGACCACCTTATCTATCTCCTGAGAAACCTATACGTGGGACAGGAAGCAATAGTTAGAACTGGATATGGAACAACTGATTGGTT